TAATGCGACTTTTTATCATCTAAGTTCCACAAATGAAAAGCTACAGCATAAGTGTTCACCACGATTAGATAATTGATGTACGTGGCGTATCGCAGAGGCTAGTAGTACTGTGGAAAATTTGGAGCACCCACTTCATCGGAATGTGCAGAAAAACTTATTGCGGTTATGTAAAAAGCTTTCCAGAAGAGATTTTTTTAAAAGATATTTAGGCAGGCACATGCAGAATGCAAACGAATTAATGAACGTTTTAATTCGACAGTGTGGCGTTGAGCTACTAAATATCTTAATTGTGATCACAAAACGATCGAAACCGTTGCTTTTATAGCTATCAATGTTTTTAATGAAGGTTACAGTTCCATTTTGCAAATAATGCACAGTATAGATATTGTTATTAGTTAACAATACAAAAGATCTACTGATCAATACGATTAGAGGCAAGAGCCGCTTAAACAGCACTTACGGATCTGGCATAGCAGATTAGCTGTAAGTACTCGAAAATTGTTGTTTATCTGTACCTAAAGCTTTAAACGCGTTTTTCTCGAAACTACTTTTTTTAGAATTGGCGTACAAGATTACTCCAAAACTAATACGAACTAGAAATTAAATGCCTATACCGGTCGAATTTGGATCTTTAATGTTTAAATAATTCCCAACACCTAATATATATATATATATATATATATATACACATACACTATATATGTACATGCATATATATCATATTTGTAGTCATTCGAACTGCGCGCCGAATTGGTTTTCCTGACTTTTAAACGCAGTTGATCAAAAACTGTTCATCCATTTGAACCCTCCCTTTGCACACATATAAGATAAATACATTCCTCATGAATCTTTATTTATAATTGTATTTGTTTACATAAATTATTTCTATTACATAATTAATATGAAATTTTTTCATAAAAATCGATATTTTTTCTTTTACATGTCACCATTTTTATAATTTCGCATCATTGTCTTTAACAATAGGTTCAATTAATAACCCAGACAGCACATTGAGACATAAGTCTTTAAAATTTCTTTTAGACGCCAAAGACGTCTTATGTCTCTCTTTTGAATACTTTGTGTTGTTTGGGAATGTAAACCCTACAAAAAAAAATTGTTTTTTTTTATTTTAGATGAATACAAGCAGCGCTACATTGCACGCCGACAGGCGACTTCAACGCCGATGTATCGGAATAACGTTATTATTATATCTTAAATACACATTGTTTTTCAGTAAAAAAAATTTTTTAGTAGTTTAATGTTACAATCACATATCCTAAAAAATTTTTAAAAATTGGTATATTTTCCTAAAAAGAAATTTCATTTATCATCTTATTTTCAGCGCGTTACATAAGGTGCCCCCCTTAAAAATAATATTTTTAGTGAATATATAGATTTTTGTACTAATTAGCTATGCTATGAAAAATCTGTATTTATATGCATATTAAGATTTGATGTGTATAGGGATATGTATATTAAGATATTTATTTGTTATGTATAGAACAGAAAAAGCAAAAACTCTCCTACCAAAGTTACGATGGGCGACACTGGGATATCATCACAATTGGGATACGAAATTATACTCTGAAAACTCGAGAAGCGACATGCCGACAGAATTATCTGGCCTAACATCCATTTTGGCAAAAGCATTAGGTTTCTCAGACTTCAAAGCAGAAGCTGCGATTGTAAATTATTATCGAATGAACTCGACTTTAGCAGGGCATACAGATCATTCGGAGATGAATATTACTGCGCCGCTTTTTTCTATAAGTTTCGGGCAGACGGCAATCTTTCTGATTGGTGGTCTTAAACAGGAAGATCCGGCTAACGCTATTTTTCTGCGGAGTGGAGATGTAGTAGTAATGTCGGAAAGCTCCCGTCTAAGATATCATGGGGTGCCGCGGATTTTAGCAGCGTCGAAAGCACCTTGGGACGATAATTACGAAGACAATTGCGAAAGCTCCGCGTACAACCTGGATGATTGGCACAAAGCACGGACTTACATTGCCGAAGCTAGAATTAATATGAATGTAAGACAGGTTTTGAAACCTGGGCAGATTGTATTATACTAAACTACATTGTAATTTTTTGTACATAAGAGTATTAAAGTATTTATTTTGACAAAAATACAAGATTTATGTCCCATATTTGAGTATCATCTTATATATTTACTTCTTATATAATTACTTTCAGTTCTAATTACATTTATGATTTTATATGATTTTATATTTTATATCAGGATATGAATATTAGATTATGCTCATGTGAAATAAATAACATTCTTTCATTAAAAACGCTACGAATTAATTCCAACACCTAATATATAAATTAAACAAAATTATATAAGAAAATATAAATTATAAATTATACACATTAAATTAACTATAAATAAATAGATTAAGTAAATAATATATTTTTTAAGTTTATATTTCGCATTATTTGTTATATTACTTAATTTTTATTTGTTTTTAATTGCTTTAATTTTTAACCATGCACATATGTGTACACATACATTTTTAAAATCACGCGCCATTGGAAACGTAATCACTAAATTTCCGGTCTCTCGTGTCAGCTGATCAATTCCATTCCTGTCTGCTGATGCACAGTGGTCGACAATGTCGGGCAAAGACAAACTACCAATTTTCCCCTCTCGGGGGTAAGTTTCTTACTTTAACAAACTAATAATTGCAAAATCTCGATGATTTCACTTATATATTATATGTCATTATTTATCCTTGAATAGAATTCCGTCTTAAAACATACCTCAGCACTGGGTGTAACTCCAGCATTCAACTGTTAAAAGAATGTGAATTTGTATTTAAATATTCTAATTCTCTTTTATTTTGCTAAAATGTGTTCTATACGGAAAAAATATTAATCTCCAAATGTTTATTGCACAGTTTATTATCTTTTTAAGAGATATTCGTCAAAATTATTCATTTAAGGATGAAATTATTTTCTACATTTTCCTATTTTGCAAAAATATCTTGTGTGATAAATGTACGTAATTTATGAATTTGTATATTTGATAACATAATTCAAAATTTATAAATAATAATAATATATTTTAAGTACAAAAGGATAGTATATTTTAACGATTGAAAACTGAAAATACTAGTATGTTTTAGGAATTTATAGTGTTTTATTAATATTAAGTATTTATTGTAAACTGTACACATTATTAAATCTGTATGTATATTTAGGGCCCAAATGTTGATGAAGTCTCGCTTACAAGGAGCACAAAAAGGACATGGATTGCTGAAAAAGAAGGCAGATGCACTGCAAATGCGTTTCAGAATGATATTGGGAAAAATCATAGAAGTATGATTAATTTTTTATTGTTAATTTTATATCTTTATTATACACTATTTATTGTACACTATTATGTTTCATATTCTGTTATTTAGTTTTAGTTGGACTATACTTAATTTTATACATATTATTATTTATTTATGTATGTATATCATGTATATTTAAATCATGTATCATTCTTTTCTTATTTTTAGACCAAAACTTTGATGGGTGAAGTAATGAAAGAGGCGGCCTTTTCATTGGCCGAAGCAAAATTTGCTACAGGAGACTTCAATCAGGTGGTATTGCAAAACGTGACGAAAGCACAGATTAAGATCCGTTCTAAGAAAGACAATGTCGCCGGTGTAAATCTACCTATATTTGAGTCCTATCAGGATGGGACAGATACTTACGAATTAGCAGGTCTGGCCAGAGGTGGTCAGCAATTGGCCAAACTGAAGAAAAACTATCAGCGAGCAGTGAAATTGCTCGTAGAGTTGGCGTCGCTACAAACAAGTTTTGTTACTTTGGATGAAGTTATTAAGATCACGAATCGACGTGTCAATGCAATCGAGCACGTAATTATCCCACGAATTGAGAGAACGTTAGCTTATATTATTTCAGAGCTTGACGAGCTTGAAAGAGAAGAATTCTATCGGTTGAAGAAGATTCAGGACAAGAAGAAGATTGCCAAAGCAAAGGTACGATTAGATCTTATTCTACTAATATTTTATTATTATATATTTATAATAATATTTAATTTTACTAATATTTTTGTTTTTATTGATTAACAGAATTTTTAGGAACACATTTCTAAGAAGATTATTCATATTTTACTAATTAATAATTTTATAATATTAATTTGTATATTATCTAAATTTTCTTCTGCTTAGGTTGAAGCAGAAAGAGCACTATTAATTGCAGCCGGACACGATTTAGATGCTACAAATTTGCTCGACGAAAGCGACGATGATGTGCTGTTTTAAATACTGTAAATAATATTATTATAAATATTAAGGTGTTATATCTAAATATATCTAAATAGAAAGAACATAAATTTATGTCGGCGTTACGACAGTCTCGTTTATACATTTTAGAGAATGTCGTTGGAAATCTCTTTTCCGCTTAAAAAAATCATTGTTACTATTTTAGTGTATCTTTTGAAAAATACATTTTACAGTATTTGTTGGGCAACAATTTGTATAAATGAATAATTATATATCATGTAGATCATGTAGTATGCAATAGTAACACTATTATTTTTTTTTTAAATATTTTGAGTATTTTAATTCTATATACACAAATCATTCCATCATCATTTTCAGCTTTTATGGTGCGAGATAATTGTACGATCCGATAATATAGTAACAATTATAAATATAATAAATATGTATATATGTATTTTTCTACAATTTTTTACCAATTATCACTATGGTTTACTTGATCGTTCTTACTCTGTTTTTTTCAAATTTCTATAAGAATATGAACGAGATATTTTAAATAGAAGAAAATATCGAGTCATTGATCGCTATAATTACATCCATTATAATAATTTTTACATTTACATAATTGCGACGTGGCAAATAATGGTAATACTTTAAAAAAATTGACTAAAATACAAACTGATGATTTTGTTTTGCAAATTATGTATTAGATTAATCAGATTATTTTAATTTAACTTTGATTAATCTCTTTAAATGAATTGATTTCTCAATTAACATGGCACAATTGGCGTGTACAACTGACCTAGTGTACTCGTCAGTGAACTAGGTCGATCAATATTACAGGGGTGGAAGGGATAGACAGGAGGTAGATTTCTCATACGAGTGGTGGTGACCACCCTTCTTCACTAAGAGGAGATGCGCGTGTGGAAATTGCTTTCAGTGCGCGGCGGAAAATTCGTCCACCCAAAACATGTCGTCGTCTTCTAGCGAGGATTGTTTCACGATCGTGGATGTGCCGGAGAATCGCTATGATGAGGCAATCCACCATCTGAGATGGAACTTTTTCGCCGATGAGCCGCTTAATAACGCTATAGGGCTTTGCGCGAGGGGGGAATCTCAGAGCGCACTTGAGCGACACTGCCTTCTCACCTTGAAGCAGGGTTACTCCAGGATGCTAGTGGATAAGAAGGGAGCGGTGAGCGAGATCTCTCACATCACAAAATATATATATGTAACATTTCTTACTCAGTTGCTTCATTATTTATTTTTAGAAATAATAAAAATTAACTTGTTTCAATTCTTTTTGTTTTTATTTGATATATCGTTATTACTTACAGAAGTCTTAATAGTCTAATATTTTTTATATATTCTTAATGATTTATTTATAATTAATCTTGTTGTTCTATTTAAATTTTTTGTACTAAAGTCAATATGATCTGATTTATTGTTACTGATTTTATGCATTTGCAGGAATAAGAACAAAATAGATTATTATAAACATTTAGTAAAAATTTAAAGATAATTAATAAAAAATATAAATATATTTATTAAAAAATTAAGTAAAAAAATTTTTTATGATTAATTGGTATGATATTGGCAGAAATAAATTAAATACAAGTGACTTACAAATGTATTTTTTATAATTACTATAAAAATATTTGTTTTATATATAAATAGGCATAACTTGCAGCAATTCATACGCATATAAGAAAGAAAAATTATTTTACAATTATAGTCACAAATACCGAACATTTTTCTTTCATTGGACATAAGAGACTTATCTTACAATCAATAGATTGTGCACTTCTCTGAATATAACTCATAAGAATAAAATAATCAATTATAGTGAAATTGTATATTATCAATCTATAATACAATAACATATAATATAAATAACATAATAATATAAATAATTAATAAAGAGTAATAAAAATTCTCAAAGTATTTGAGATAATATTCCTGAAGATAACTAAATTCCCGAGAAAAAAAATGTTATATGTATATATTAGGTGTTGGAATTAATTCGTAGCGTTTTACAAGTGATGGGAAGTACTTTCATTAATGTATTTTTTAATGCTCATG